TCCCTGTCCTGCCTCTGAAGACGGGACTAGAGGAAGGCAAGAGCTTGCTCTCAGCGAGGCCTCCAGAAGGTCTGGCCGGGCTGCCGCCTCAGTGTGCTGGGATGAGAGAACTTGCCAGGAATTTCCTGGGGCAGCTCCAGGGTAGGCTGCTTGGATATAAGGGTTACAGGGTGGCCTGGGCCCTGCCCCCCTCCTCTTTCCCTGGCATGTCCCAGCCCTGTGCATTCTTGGAATCTGTGAGTTGTGCCGTGTTCTGTGGGCACCGGGAGTTTGCTTTGAAACCCGTGGCACCAACATCTGTTAGCTCTTAGAGAACAGAAAGATTGACAAAGCACTGCTGGAGCAGGCGGTGGGGGAAGATCTTACGTTCGGGAGTAGGAAGTCTCAAAGACAGAGGAAAAACCCCAACCAAACTCCAGCTCGCTCCACAAGGCTGCTTTGATGTGGTTTTCCCATCCCCGGAGGCCTTATAAGGTATCGTGCCTGAATCTGGGCTCTGGGATGGTGCTGGCCGTACACCCTGTGCCCAGAGGAGCTGGCCTCTCTTCTGGGGCCCAGTGTAGGGCAGAGGAGGGGCTCCCAGGGCCAGCCGATGGGGCACCACTGGGACTTAGGAAGGTGGCACATCTGAGGGATGTAGCCTGAGAGGCCACCAAGCCAGGCCACTGGGCAGGAGCAGCCCGGCCTGGGGTCAGGTGGAGCAGGGGCTCTGGAGACCCAGGAAGGCCTTTGATCAGCATTTGCAGCAGAGGCAGAGGCCTACTGTCCTGGAGGCCAGAGAGGAGGGGTCCAGGACCACGGGCAGAGTGACAGCTAAATAGACCAAAGAAGCGGAGCAGCCTGGCCGCTGTCGCTGAGCCCCACGTGTGGGTTTCCCAGGTGCAGTGGTGAAGGGTGTGGGGTTTGGCACTTACTAGCTGTGTGACCTTTGACAAGTCACTTAACCTCTCTGTGCCTCAGTTGTCTCATCTGTAAAGTGGGGTAATCATGGCAGTCCTCTGGAATACCTGAAAGGATTGCCAGGAGGGTGAAATGCAGCACCCCGAAAGCAGTGTGCTGGGCAGGATGGGGCATGTTTCCAGGTGTCTGTGAGGGCACCTGGGGTCTGGCAAGTCACTTGGCTTGTCCCAGCAGTGTTCTGGTCGCCATATGATAACAACAGCAGGAGTAATAAACAGTAGCTGCTGACCTGACGGACCTCACTCACACCATCAGCTGCTCTGCTAAGCACTTCGCATGCAATGACTTCCTCACTCCTCATGATCCCCTTCAGATATCCTGAGTGCTGTCGCCCTGTCTACGAATGGGGAGACTGAGGTACACTAGAGATAAAGTTCCTTTCCCCAGGTGACATAGTGTGTGCAAGGCAGAGTTGGGATTCGAACCAAGGTCTGAGCCCCTCCAGTTCCATGCCCTCTGCACGGGGGCTCCCAGGGGGGCTGTCAAAGGTCTGAGCGTGTCTCCCGGCAATACCTACCTTCCCACAGGATGGTGCTGAGGGCCTGGCCCTGGCCCTGACTTGTGGGGCTGTCAGCCAGGGCTCAGCTTGAGGCAGGGCCAAGTTCCCAGCTATGGGGAGGAGCAGGGGAGCTTTGAGTCCTGCTAGACAGACAAGAGCCGTTGACCACTCACCCACTGAAGCTACCAGCTGGGCTGTTTTCCTTGCCCTACTTTAGTTGTGATCCCTGGTCCCTGGTAGGTCCCAGGACTCCCGGCCACCGCTGCTCCCATGCCTAGAGGAGCCCTGATTGCATGGTGGGAGCCCAGGCAGAGGCACCCGAAGGAGCTGGCGTGGGTCTCCGCTACGCCCATTGCTGGCAGGTGATACAGAGTGGGTCACGGCCTCTTGGAGCCTCCTGGCACTTAGACGCAGGGCTGTGGGGAGGCTGTTCTCCAGAGCCTCCTGTGAGGATCCCATTGGTCAGTACCTTGTACACTGTGAGTGCTTGGTAGATGACAGGTTACTGCCATCAGCATGGTTTCCTGTCTCATACGGTCCTTCAGGGTTGAGGACACTTTCTTTGTGGAAAGTCATGGTAACAATTATACCTCTCACTTTACAATTTGTAAATCATTTTAATGAGCATCTATTTCTTGAGAGATGGAAAGAACAGGGCTGTTGTGATGATTCAGGGGGGTAAGAAATACACGCATACACAGTCGGCCTTCCATAGCCATGGGCTCCATATCTGTGGATTCAGCCAACCATAGATAGAAAATATTTGGAAACAAAAAAGAATCTGTAATGAACACATACAGACTTTCTCGTCCTTATTCCCTAAGCAATACAGTGTAACAACCATTTCCATAGCAGTTACACTCTATTAGGTACTGTAAGTAATCTAGAGGTGATTTAAGGTATATGTAGGATATTTGTAGGTTCTATGCAAATACTACATCATTTAGATAGGGACCTTGAGCATCCACAGATTTGGGTAGCCTCGGGGAGTTTTGGAAGCAGTTGCCTGCAGGTACTGAGGAATGACTGTATACATAAAGTGCCTAGCATGGGGCCTGATACATGGAGAATGCACAGTTAGTGTCAGCTGTTTATTATTGGGGTTGAGGACTGTGCCCATTTTACAGATAAGTAGACTGAAGTCAAAAGGTGAGGCAAGTGGTACAGCCAGGATGTGATCCTGTGTTTGGCTCAGCATCCCACATGGCTTTTGGACTAGAGACTCAAAGCTCAAGGAGCATGCGGCTGAACACTACAGACCCTGGGCCGTGTGGCTCAGCGGGGGAAATGAATTTTTTTTTTTTTTTTTTTTTTGAGATGGAGTCTTGCACTGTTGCCCGGGCTGGAGTGAGTGGTGTGATCTTGGCTCACTGCAACCTCCACCTCCCAGGTTCAAGCGATTTCCCTGCCTCAGCCTCCCAAGTAGCTGGAATTATAGGCACCTGCCGCCGCACCTGGCTAAGTTTTTGTAATTTTAGTAGAGTTGGGGTTTCACTATGTTGGCCAGTCTGGTCTGGAGCACCTGACCTCATGATCCACCTGCCTCAGCCTCTCAAAGTGCTGGGATTACAGGTGCCCGACCGGGGAGTTGAACTTTTACCAAGTTGAGCATGGGGACAGCACAGTGCGTCTGTGGACCATGGCTCCGAGGATCTTTCCAGTGTTCTCCAGTGCAGGGTACTGTTGAATGATGAGAGGCCTACCCCAGAACTTGCTAGAACTCTGCTTTCTGAGTGTGCCAGAGAGCTTGGTCGTCTGAGCAAGGAGTGCTGAAGCTGTCATTGGTGATGACTGCGGTGCCTTGAGCACACGTGGGCATCGTTATAGGGTCCCACATGGCTGCCTAGTTGGTGGCGATGTCTGGAGTCTTTTTAAACTCTTCCAAGTGTGCCAATAAAAAGACACGAGTATGCAGACGTCTCACTGATGCTGTCACCTGGCTGTGGTGCGGTCAGGGTGGCATGCGCGGACCCCCCCACCCCGGCCCCCACAGAAGACCTCAGTGTGAAGAGGTGTGCGGATTCTCTTGAAGACTGTCGCCTGTTCCCTCGAGGAAGCGCTGCCTGCCAGCCTTTCAGGGGGTGGCGGCACCCGTCTTTCTCCGGCATGAAAGATGTGCTTTAATTGGCTGCTGGGGCGTCCCAGCCATCTAATGATGCCACCTGTGTGCATCCCTTTCCTGTCATCGTCTCCCAGCTCCCTGTCAACTCAGGCTCTGTTAACACAAACAGCCAGTTTACAAGCCCAGGAAATGTTCAATGATTATAATAATTGGCGGAGGAGGAGAGGGAAGCCTTCCTGACTCGAGGAATAAAGTCGCTTGGTTTTGAAGTAAATGGGACACCGGAGTCTGAATGGCCACATTTTAACAGCCTTTAAGAAAGAGTGTGTAATGCCCTAGAAAGATCTGAAAGAAGAAAGAGAACAGCCACAAAATGTTAGCTGTTTGTCTTTTAAACAAACAAACAAAAAACAACAAAAGCAAGAGGCTTACCTCCAGCTGTGTCCAGTTGATGAGATCAGCAATACAAAGCCTTGTTTTCCTTTTGTTCATCAAGATGAGGACTGGTTTTTCTTTTAAGCATCATCTGAGGTGTAGAATTTTTTTTCCCCTCAAGAAGAGAGTTTTTTTTTTTTTTTTTTTCCCCTCTCTTTTATTTTCACAAAGAGAAGTTGGTGACAGCTGCTGAGTTTGGGCTTTTTTATTGCTTGTCATTTTGTGGTTTGAGAAGCACTGCCATAGCATCATTGTCTCCCCAAACCCTTGTCAGTCCTGCCGTAACAGGAGTGTTTCCCAAAGTGGGTTTCTTGGGACGTGAATCTCATGTGATGCTTCTGAAAAACAAGGCTCCATGGCCTAAGTAAGTCTGGAGAATGCAAAATATGCTAGCACTTGGAGATTCATGGTGTTTAGAAGTGCAAGTAAAAGCCCTGATAAGTCCTGCAGTAAAGGATCTTGTTTAACTTTGTTTAAAAGAATCTTCTTTGATCAGAGAACGCGTCTGGCAGAATACCGATAAATACAGAAGACGGTTTGACAAGTTATGGTCTAGCTTCTTCCATATTTGGAGTTAGCCTGCTGGGGTGGGTCAGACAGATGGGACCTTTGTTGACATCCTAGAAATTTCCCAGCCTGTGGACCTGTAACACTCTCCTTGCTAACTTGACACCACCTGGTCAGGTTGGTTGAGATGGGGTCCCAGATATCTTTAACTCACTGGTGGAAACAGGCAGGGTGTGTGCGAAGATCATACTGGTTTCCAGAAGGCATGCGGGTTGGTGAAATATGGGAGGTGTGACGGAAGACCAGGGGAAGCCATAGTTTGTGGGGACCTGAATGTTGTGCTGACGCATGTGGGTTTAGGTTAAGGGCAGGAGGGACTCACCTTGGTGCTTAACTTTTCAGGTGTGATGGAATCTGCTTCAGTTGACCTGATTTCCCATCAGAAGCATCAGCCCAGGGTCCTCATAGTGACACTTTTAACGTCCCAGCCCTGGACTCCCCCCAACTCCTACTCAGTGCCTGTGCTTTGTCTTCTAGGAGCTCGTGGGCGACGTGTTGAGAGACACGCTCAGTGAGGAGGAGGAGGACGACTTCCGGCTGGAAGGTACTTGGAGTCCGTTGCTCTTCCCAGCAGCAGTGAACGAGGGAAGCGGGTGTCCAGCTGGCTGTGTGCCCTGCGTACTCCAGAAAATCTGCAGACAGCGCGCTCAACAGGGACTTTGTGACTCTGGGTGGGGGCGGGCTGGAGGGTGGGATGGAGGAGAGGTGAAAGAGACAGGTGTGGCACTTCATAGGTCCAAGCCCAGGTGGGGACTCAGTCACTTATGTCCACGTCATGGCCCAGTACCGGATTAGCTGGGGGACCTTGGACAGGTTGTTGAAAGTCTGCTGCACCTCTGGGGATAATGAGAATAGCTGCTCAGCGTGGCGTGTGACGTGTGATCAGGCAGTGCTGGGCATGGAGAAAGCCTTATGCAGGGTACCTGTTCCTTCCCTCCATGCTGTCACTCCCTCAGTGCATGTGCGCGCGCACACACACACACACACACACACACACACAGCCAGCCTCACCTCTCTCCTGTGTCGTCTTCACTCCTTCCTTTCTTGAGATGGGGTCTTTCTCTATCACCCAGGCTGGGGTACAGTAGGTAATCATAGCGCATTGCAGCCTTGACCTCCTGGGCTCAAGTGATCCTCCCACCTCAGCCTCTCAAGTAGCTAGGACTACATTTGCACGCCACCATGCCAAACTAATTTTTAAATTTTTCTGTAAAGACAGGGTCTCACTGTGTTGCCCAGACTGGTCTTGAACTCCTGGCCTCAAGTGACCCTCCCACCTTGGCCTCCCAAAGTGCTGGGGTTACAGGCGTGAGCCACCGCGCCTGGCCACTCCTTTCTTTCTTCACGGTGAAGCGCCGTGTTGTAAAGAGATTCAGGATGCTCAAGTAGAGGGTTCGCTGGCTGCCGGTGTGCTGCTTTGATTTTGGGCAGGCCACCCCACCTTTCTGAGCCTCAGTGTCCACATCTATAGCAGGGGAATGAAGCCAGGCCTTTTCCCTGCTTGGCTCCCAGAGTTGGTGCCAGGAACAAATGACAGCGCGAAGCAGCGTGTTTGCTGAATGGGAGAGCTTTCCATTTGAAATTCAGAAACAGGGAAAGAAATCACCAAGTGGGGGGCTGCCTTACAAGAGTAGGGAAGGATTTCTCTGCTGAGACTAGGATAGACAGCTGGCTGGAGAGCTGGGGCCAGGGTACAAGGATCTGCAGAGGGGGATCCAGGCCTGCGGGGGTGCTAAGGGCCTCAAGAGGAGAGCAGACAGTTTTGGGAAGTTCTCAAGGGGAGCCTGGGCCAGACCTGAGGACCACGGCCACATGTGGCCTGAGAGTTGTTAGAAATATAGAATCTCAGCTCCAGCCAGACCTGCTGAATCCGATCTGCATTTTAATAAGCTCCCCAGGTGACTTGCATGCACACTGCACTCGGAGAAGCACTGTTTGAAGATACTCCGTTGCCTGTAAGTTGGAGGCGGGTTGGAGAGCCAGGTATCTAGCAAACTTTGCTCAAATACGAGCAGGCCCCAGATCAAGGGGGAGGAGTCCGATGAACAGAAAGCTTTGTATGTGCATACAGTCTGATACCTTTTATGTGAAAAAAGGTACCAGACAATCCTCAGGAGTTTCTTAGGGCACCATATATGCATCTGACTGTGTGGTTAGAGGCCCGGATAGATGATAACCATAGCTCTTTCCAAACACGGGAGGGGACTGAAGTCTGTGCTATCTGTATTTCATGGTTTAACTTTTATAAGAAGAACATAGTTGGACATGGTGGCTCATGCCCGTAATCTCAGCACTTTGGCAGGCGGGGGCTGGAGGATCGCTTGAGCTCACCAGTTTGAGACCAGCCTGGGCAGCATAGTGAGACCCTGTCTCTACTATGAATAATTCTAAAATTATATATTTTTTAAAAAATCACAATCATGTATTCCTTGTGAAATTAAAAACTAATGTCAGTATTTAAAGGTGAAAACCATAAACAAAGCAGCAGAAACGAAGCTGCTCTGGTTTGAGCTGAGTGGGCACCTGGACCTGTCCATGTGGCCCCCTAAGACCCCGTGAGGGACCCTGGGACCAGTGACTGTCTGTGCGCCTCTGGCACCCTTGGTCCTGTGGTCCAAGGCTGCCCACCCCAGGGTGGGGGATACGGCGTGGATGGCAGGCCGCCACATGGCTAGGTCTGGTGAGAGCAGGTGCTGAGTTCTGGCCATGGAAAACCAGCTGCCTGCTCCGGACCTGGGGCTGGGGGATTCCTCTGTGCTACTGGCAAAGGGAGAACAAGCCGAGTCCTGAATCTCTTCTTTGTCTTCCTGTTGGCCAAGTTCATTGCCTCTTGGCGGGCTGGAGAGCTGTTTAAGAGAGAAAAAAGGCCATCTGAGGCGTGAAGATAAAAAGAAGTCTTTTAGCCATCCCTGGAGAGGATGGCTTTAGCTCCCGCGTTGTTATGTAAAGCCGGCCCTAATCCAGAGTCTTAACCGCCTTAACTGGCCAGCTGGGAGCGGGAGGGATGGGAGATTAAGGCTGGGCTTGGTGCGAGGGCCAGGGCTGCAGAGCTCCTTTTGAACTGGGGAAAGAACAAAGTAAACATCAAAAGTCCCAAGCTCTGAGAGCTGGCTGGGCGTGGCAGCGCTGGTGAGGTGAGGCTTTCGTGGGGAGAAGGGGAGAGGGACCCCTCCTCAGCTGACCCAGCTGGGGTCTGAGGACTGGGGAGGAGCGACCCCAGGCTCACCTCCAGCGCAGATGGGCATGGTGCCAGGTAGTGGCAGCCTGCGGCTTGGAGTGGGTGCCAGGCCACGTTCCCCTGCATGGCCTCCAGGAGTCACTGTGTCCGAGGGTGCTGCAGCCACTGCTTCGCCCCCTCCCCTCTCCCTCTCTCCAGGTCCCCTCTGCCTCTCACCTGGTGAACACTGCTCTGCCAGCTTCTTGGCTGTCTCTGTGTCTCACCTCTGGGCCTTTGCCCGCTGTCCTTCCTCATTCTCAAGTGCCTAGTTCCTATCTCTCTGCTTCCCGGCGTCTTCTCTAGGAAGCCCGCTCTGCAGGGCACAGTCCGGCCTGCTGGCCCTGCCCACAAAGGAGATGCCCAAAGCCACGGAAGTCAGGCAGCCCCTCCTCCTCAGGACCAGACCCGGCCCTCCCGGCTTCCAAGGCAGGCCTGGCTTTGGCCCTGCCGCCTCCTCCCCACTGGCCTGGCGTGTGGACGTGGCAGCCCATGGGGTGGTCCCTGCTTCCCCAGCCCAAGGGAAATGTGCCTGGAGTTGCTGGTTCTGCCTAGCAGGGCATCAGTGTTAGGACCGAGACCTCGGGGGGCTGAGCAGCCCTCTGGGAGCTCAGGAACCATTCAGCTCTGCAGTGGCCCCCAACTTTGCCTTCCTCATCTGTCCCCTTCATTCTGACTTTCTGTGAATTTGCAACTCAGACCCTGTTCCAGCCTGGCTTCCCCACACTCACTGTGTGACCTTGGGCGAGTCACTTCTCTGTGCTTCCGTTTCTCACTCGGTTCCTCGTAGCACTTCTTCATCAGGGTTATCGTGAAGACAGCGAGGTGATGGATGTAGGCCCCGAGGATGGCCCTGGCACAGAGTAAGTGCCAACACACTTGAGCTGCTGTGATGCTTGTTTCCTGGGTTCAGTTTTCTTGAAGAGGGGCCAGCCTGTGTTTATAATCATTTACCTAGCCCAGATCAAAGAAGGCCTCTTGGCAAAGCTTCTTTAATCCTATTAGAATCTCTAAAGGCTCTCCATACTCCCGGTGCCTGGAGTAGGGTCTGGCATGCTGTATGTGCTCAATAAATAAACACTCACTGAAGAAGGAACGTCAACAGCCTTCAGTCACTGAACGCAGGTGACGTCTCCCTCTGGCCCCTCAGGCAGGTCCTGTGTACCTGTGTTGGGGCCTGAGCCAGTCCGTCCAGGCTCCCAGGGGTGAGATGTTGGGCAAAGAGACTTGGGAGGCCTGTAGTCCCTTTCATCTGTGGTTGGAAAACTGAAGCCCAGAGAGAGGAAGTGACCTGTTCAAGGTCACACAGCAGGCTGAGAAAAGAATCTGGCCCCTCACCCCTCATCATTCAGTATCTGCTGGGCATTTGCTACAGCTAGGGACCCTGCTGGGTTCTGGGCTCACAGGCAAGTAGGCAAGCCTAGCTGTCACGACATTCACAGGAGGGAGGCAGGGATGAATACAGAAATCCTCGAAGAAACACGGAAGTTTCTGGTAATGGTGCTCTGCTAAGAGGTAATAGCCCAAGGAGAGTTAGAATGAGGAGGCTTTTCTGAGAAGACAATGTTTCATCTGGGATGCAGATGCCAGGAAGGAGCCAGCCATGGGAGAATGTAGGGGGAGAGCAGCTAGGAGGCGTGAGCGGAACCCCAGGGTGGAGGGAACTTGGTGTTTGGGGAAGAACAGAAAGGAGGCCGATGTGGCATCGGGAATGAGAGCGGGGCAGTGGGCAAGCATGGGGCCACGCACCTGGGTTGGAGAGGGTTGGGTGGGGGACTGCTGGATTATGACTTCTGTTTTAGGAAGTGAATTCTGGCTTCTGGAAGGGACGGCCCATGGGCAGGGAGGAAGGGGACAGTGAAACCAGGAGGCGATTGCAGGGGTCAGGTGAGAGGACACGGCACTGGCCCAGCCTGGGACCTTGGGGCTGGGAGAGGTCCATGGGGCGGGGCTGGGACTGGCGGGAAGTGGGTGGAGGGAACGACGGGGTCAGGGATGCATCTTAGACCTTTGGCTTCAGGAGCTAAGGATTTGGCGGTGGCACTTCTGCGCTGGAGGTTTTGGTGGGTGATCATCAAGCCTCCCTGGACCTGTTGGGTTCAGGATGCCCATTTAACACCCAAGGAGAGGTGCCGAGGAGGCCGTGGGATACCTGGTGATTGGAGCATGGGGTTCAGAGAGCAGTTGGGTGAGAAATGGAGAGAGCGAGTCATCAGAAGTAGCCAGGACGTTGCCCAGGCAGGGCTCCTTGATACGCAGTGGCTTCCCAGGAAGGTTGGAGGGAGGGGTGTTCACGGGAGAGCAGCAGGCACCCCCACATGGAGGGGCAG